TATATAATGGTAGAGATAAATGGGGAAGATATATGAGAATTTTGAAGTAGTAATGATTCACACATGATGAGGGAATTATTACCCACACATATCCTGTACACAGTTACTCAAACAGACTTTGTTCAAATAAACCCAAATATGTAAAAAAAGTTGTTTTAACTCTCTTGTTTTGACCACAGTCATGCTGATAATGACATGTCATTAGGTACGTAAGGAAGCTGAAATAAAGTTTATTATTATTATTATTATTATTAATTAAATAAATAAAAAGACAGTAATCTTGTTTTCTGATCTATGCAGGATTTGTTTATTCGAAAGTCAATATAATATAATATATAATATAACATTTGTTTGGTTCGATTATAAACTTGTTCGAGCTCAACTCGATCGGTGTTATGTTTTGGCCCAAATTAATTAACGGGCCTAAAGCCCATTTCATCCTACGTGTCCATCGCTAAGAGAGAGAGAGAGCACAGTTGCATTTAATTTGGGAGTCCATTTATATGGAAGGATCTGGAGAACTGATCACATCCGTTGGATCAAGGTTTTTACGTCGTGACTATTGACTTCTCATTTAAATATATTTTTCTGCACCAGTAGAAAAAACGTTTTTCACTATGGTAAAAAGTCATAATAAAAGTTATCTTTTGCTACAAGACAATTTTGGAGTTGTAGGACGTAAGTGCTAAAATTTACCGTAACAAAAAAATATTTGCTTCGAGCCCACGACTATTTACTGTAGCAAAGTTTTTGCTAGGCTCGTATGTGAGGGGGCAAATGCATAGTAAAAGTTTTTTTTATATTCTTTTACTATAGTTAATGGTCGTAGTAAAAAGGCAATTTTTCTACTATATTCTTGTGGGACCGTGTGTGGCATCATTTGGCCACGTGTGGCACTATTTAAATTTTAAACTAAGCTCTAAATTCCGCAAATATATAAAGGGCTTTTACGTGTGGGCCTATTATAATGCATTCATTAATCGCTTGTTATAATAAATGGGCCGACGTAAATCCCATGTTCAAAACGGAGATGAAAATAAAATCAATCGCATATGCAGCACGGAAACTTCAACTTCTAACGTATTCACGTTTCATATATATTTTGCGTTCGATATTCGAGGACACCTACCGAACACTACCTTAAGGGCCATTTTGCAATTCCTATAAAATTAAAAACATATTTGAATATCAAATTTCCAAATAATACATATTTTAATACCATCAAAATCTATTCTGGATTTCTTATGTGACAGACTAAAGCGCTTTTGTAATTGTGTTTTTATAAGTTGTACTTTCCAAATATATAGAATTTTTTAATTTATTGTACTCTTGAAATAAAAAAATTTAACCAAAAAATTAAAAAATAAATAAATTGCGCCATAATATCCATCTCTTGCGAAACTCGAGTCATATATGCAGACAATTCAATATGAGTAATTTCAGTTGTACGTACCAGAAGTGTACGTTACGTTTAGCTATCTTCATGCAGAATTCGGTACACTACACGTTACCTTTTTCCTAATTCTAACTATATAACAAAACAAATATGACCAAATTATACCTAATAACCTAAAGTGATGTTGTAAGAAATTAGTTACTAAATTTGGTTGAATTATTGCATCATATTATACCAATAATAATATATATACACGTAACTATATATATATATATATATATATATATATATATATATATATATATATATATATATATATATATATATATATATATATATATATATATATATATATATATATATATATATATATATATATACATATATATCTATCCCCATAGATGGATATCTACTTATATAGAGCGTACTCATATATATATCTCTACACGATATCTCTACTTTTTCTTTTTTATACACATATATAGGTCACTTACAATATACATATATAAGAATTCTGAGTGTGAGTGCGTGGAAAAAAATATAGATCTATATCATATATATATATATATACAACCTTAGAATAAAGGATTATGTCATATATGCCATTTTTTCAATGTGGGCCCACCACCTCGAATACAAATAGTGGAGTACCGTTTTTGTACGGATGCCTCGACGCATGTTACTTAAATCGACTGGATTTAAACCGTAGATCTGATTAAATAATTACACATGAAGTACACACAGATAGATGTGTGTGATTAGATGTAAATCTGCGGTTGAAATTCATTCATTGTAAATAACGTGACGTAACTTTTATTTTTTCAGTAATTCAAATCATTTACAAGGGAACGTAATGTCTATAAAGTGTTATTTCTTATGGTGATCTTAATATTCAGTGTCACCAAATTGAACAAGTAAAAAAAATGATATTTTTTGAATATTTCAAATTTGATTTGACAGAATGAATAATTATAAAACAATTGAAATTATATTAAATGCATAAAATAAGAACGGAAAATATTAGTATTTAAGAATAATTAAACACCCATTCATAAAAGTCAGGATCCGCTGCTATAAAAATTTTATAGTAGGCACGTGGCGCGCTCTGAGTGGTTCCCAGTTCCCACAAGCTGTTGAACATTTTTTAGTTTCAACTCTCAAGAGAAATATCAAATATTGACGTTGACTGTAATCTCCCGTAGCCTTCCAATTTTGAATAATTTAATAGATATATAATAAATAAATTAATACTAAGGGAAAATTGCACGTCACCCCTACAAATTTTTCATTTTTGCACTTTACCCCCTAATTGTTTTTGAAAAAGTGCATGTTCCCATTCAAAATATTATTCATGTTGCATACTGCCACGATTGCAAAATTTCGATAGACTACTCGTCGGAATTGAGTTTTCTTGTTGAACATTGCCCCTCAAATATTATTATGTTGCACGTTGGCCCTTCAAAATATTATTTTTCTGCACATTGTCGTTTTACAATGTTATTTTTAATCCACGATACCCAGCAAAAATTGGCTTTTCGTGCAAAGTACAACCAAAAAAATATTTCGAATGAAGATTATTCCTTTTTCGAATTTTTATGGGTAAAATTGCAAAAATAGAAACTTTATAGGGGGCGAATTGCATTTTAGCCTTAATACTACGTAGAAAGAAAAAATCAAGAAAATAAAAAGAAATAATAATTTTCTTTTTCTATAGTTGATAAGTTCAAATCTCTCTTCCCTTCTGTTATATATAATCTCTTCATCCATTCCTCATACATCTCTGCCGATTCCTGCGGTTTTTTCTCAGCATAAAGATTCTAATCCCACCACCATCTCCGCCGCCTCTCCGCCTCCCACCGCCGCCACCCAGAATTTTCCGTATATTCCGGATGAAATATTTATATTCTTTTGTAGGTATAGAAGTACATCAAAATCATGTCAAGTATAGCAACATCTCTTTCTGAAATCTCTCTCTCTCTCTCCCGCCGTCGAAAAACTATCTCCGTCGCCGATCGTTGGCCTTTCTCATAATAAAAATAATAAAAATTCATTCTTTCACTATTTTTCGAATTTAATTTCTTAAAAAAAAAAGAAAAAAAAATCATGGTCAGAAAAAGGATACGAGGTTTCTTGCTCAAACACCGGGTGACGACACTTTTCCGGCGACTATTCCGGCGAAACTGCTCGCAGTCAGCTTACAGCCGGCTGGACCCACCTCGATGCAACCGGGTCGAACCCTTCTCGAAGCTCGCCAGCTGGACCCGCTGCCTGAGAACAAAAGCAAAAGAGATCCTATCAAAAAACTACAACAACTCTTGTCGTGGATTTATCCGGGTCGGGCAAGAACCGTTTATTGAAAAACCGGCACCGGTTCCGAAAGGGCATATGGCGGTTTACGTGGGTCAAAAAGACGGTGGCGATTTCCAGAGGATATTTGTGCCGGTGGCGTTTTTCAACCACCCTTTGTTCGGAGATTTGCTGAAGGAATCCGAAAAGGAATACGGGTTCAATTATCCGGGTGGGATCACCATACCCTGTCGGATCTCGGAGTTTGAGCGTATCCAAACCCGGATCAAATCGGGTCAGTCTACCCGGAAGTTGCGATGATGACGACAAAAGGCGTGTGTTGTTTTTTTTATTTATTTTTTCAAATTCACTGTATGGTTGGTTGTACAGAAGCGGAGAATTTTGATATTAGATTATTTAGCACCTACATTTATTTTTAATTACAGTTGAACCCCTATATATTAATGCAGTCGAGATTAGCAAAATTCTATTGTTTTTTAACGAAAAATTAAATTATCGAACTAATAATTTAATACGTTTACTATTAGCCGGGACCAAGAGGAATTATTATTTAAGAGAAGTTGCTAATTTATCGAGGTTGCAATTACTATATACTATTTCTTGCAACTACAAAACATCAATGGTATCATTTCATGAAATTTAATGTCTATTAATATATTTCAATTTGAGATTTAAGTATCATATTGCAAACTAATGAGTTTAATCTTGAAAACAAACTTTTTGATTATAGAAGAATACGAGGTAGGTTTGTCAAACTTTAAGGGGGTCATCTGCAAAAATGAAGGGGAAAATGTAATCACAAGGAGTTCATCTGCAAAAAAATACTTTCAAATTTGAAATATGCGGTTAAGTTTGACGGAAAAACTAACGAAAGTTACATCTTAAACTACAAGGGGATTATGTGCTGATATTACTAGTACAGATGGTCATATGCAAAAGCTTGTAACCACATGGGCTAAGTGATATTTACCCAAATCAAAGGTAGTGTTACAAAAAATTAAAATATTGTATAAATTATTAATTTGGAAAAAATTAAAAATATTAAAATATTGTTAATCTAATAGTATTTGTGTAATTACTTATTTTTAATATTTTTTTCTGTACTAATTTTCAACAATTATCAATCTCCTATTTTTTATCAATATATCTCAAATCTTAATATATATAAAGACAGAAATTCGATTTGTTAAATCTAAACCTATATATTTGGATTATAAATTTTAATATGTAAAATTTAAGAAAAACTAATATTATATAAAATATGAGTAATACTACATTATTAAATTTTACTATGTTAATGTACTATATTTTCTTATTATGTATTAAATTAATTTTTTTTTCACTTTTGAAATAATATCCCGTGCATTGCACGGGGAAATAATGCTAGTTATATATAATTAAAAAATAATTGCCGCCAAGTAATGGATGACCACACGTGTCGTTGTCAAAAATATATGCTGAGGAGAATCTCTACTACATAATATGGGATAATACTGTGTGGCCACATAATTTATCAAATAGAAATTTACAATTTTAACTAAAATATTTAATCTGGCTAGTTTTTATTTAATAATATTTTTTATAAAGAAATAATTATGTGTCTATATTTGTCACTATTTATTTATTTATTCCGGATGGACAAGATATTTAGAATGTATTATTGGGCCTAGACATCTTTCTATTTTGTAGAATTTATTTTGATAATACAAGCACCAGAAAAGTAGGCCTGTTTCCATTCGAGTCCATTATCATATTTTTTTTTGCTTTATTAAATTCGTACCCTATAATATATAAAAAGATAATAATAAAAATAAATAAATAAAAGAAGGAATGGTGGAAGTAAATTATGCCGTATGCGGGAACCTATTCGAATTTCCATGTCAATTTGTTACTAAATTCTATTCCGGAATTTTTACATGTCCCTTTATGAAGAAAAAAAGAGCAAATTGCAGTTTGCCCCCTTAAAAAGTATATTTTTTACACTCTTCTTCACTTCAAATACAAAAACTAGATTGTCCCTCTTTAAAATATATACAACTCAGTGCTATTTGCCCCACACGTGTATTTAAGGCCGATTTTTTATCAAAATAAGAGTGTATATGTCATTTATTTCTCCCGGTTCTTTAAGATCTCCTTTTCAGTATTCAATTACTTAGGGGCTCCAAAATATAACTAAACTCACTTCCCAAATTAACAAAATTCTCTCCAAATTCGATGAAAATATCTCCCAAGTTTGATGGAATTGCCAAGAATTCGACCGAAATATACATATTTAGGGCAAAGTGCACCGAGTTGTGTAGTTCAAAGAGCAACAATCTAGTTTTTGTACTATGTGAGGGGTGGAAGTGCAAAAAAGACATTTTTTGAGAGGGCAAAGTGCAATTAAAAATAAATTATTGATGTGACGAACATAATCCGACAAAATAAATTGCGCATCAGAATTCATTGGAAATAAGCAACTACCTCAAAAAAAAAAAAAAAAAAAAAAACACCACCAATTGGTCATCAAAAAGTGAAAAGTATCAAAAAATTAAAAAAATTAACAATAAGTAAAAGCAACTCCAATCTCCATCAAAATATACTTTTATTTTCACAACAATAATATCCACTTCGAATAATTAATGATCATCAAACACTAATCCTACAAATTAAATCCTTCTTAATTCACTTATCTAATAGTTTTGTCCCATTAATTATGTATGGTTTATTATAAGGGTTAATTGCCAATTCCACCATTGTGAAATCTCTAATTGCCAAATAACCCCCTGTGAAAAAACAATTCACTCATGCCCCCCTATGTTAACAAAGTCAATGCATTAAGGCCCCTGGAGGCAACTCGTGTCTCTCACTCGCCAATTTTGCGATTATTCAAGCTATTTTTTGGAAGGAAATGGCATAAATACCCCTTCATAAAGAAAGAAAAAATCAGATTGATCTAACTATAAATAAGCTAAATTTATAGGACCAAATTGTAATTTCCAAAGTTCACACCTTCCCCTTTCCGTCGGCCCACCTCCGAGCCACTAATTAATTCTGCACCGCCGCCGTCTGGCCCCACCGACACCTACCTCACTGGAGAGTGGAGACACTCCATCGGCGACCCTACCTCACTGGAGATCTCTCCGCCGCCGATTAATAAATACGCCGCCGCTGTCTCTGTATATTTCGTTTTGTTGTTTGTTTAGGTGGCGGATTTAGGTGGTTGTAGGTGGCGGATTTAGGTGGTGAATTTGAAGAAGAAGGTTGTGGTGGTGACTGGTGCAGGAAGGAGGCGTGATTTTTTTATTTTTTTTCTTTTGATTTTTTTATTCATGATTATCATTATTTTAATATAAAATATAAAATACAAAATTACAACACATATAAAAACTTTTAATTTACAATATATTTTAATTCTTTGTTTATATATTTTTTACTTTTTGTAATTACAAAATAATTTTATTTTATATAATATTACATAATTATGATATAAAATTTGGTGTAATTAAAATCAATTATCCTATACTAATTGTTGAAAAAGCCCAAGGACATTTCAGTCTTCTTACCTTTAGTCAAAGCCTAAAAATAAAAAAGGTGTAGTGTGCTTCGAAAATGTTAACACAGGGGGCATACGCGAATTTTTTTTTTACAGGGGGGTATTTGGCAATTATAGATTACACAGGGGTGGTATTTGCAATTAACTCTTTATTATAAATATATATAATTAAAAAATAATAATAAACCCAAAAAAAAAAAAAAGATGCTGGCAAAGAAATTAAACCTTGTTCATGCAATTACACCTCAATTTAAAAGCACAAATGTCATCTCTCATAAATCTCTCTTCTCTCACACTCTTCTTCAGCATCTTCTTCTTCTTCACCTGCAACAACAATGGCGGCCGCCGCCTCATGATCGAAGCTGCCCACATCTTCATCTACGGTGGCTGCTCCCAAGAAAACTACCCACCAAACTCACCTTACGAAACCAACCTCAACTCCATTCTCTCCTCCATAATCGCCTCCTCTTCCCAAACACTCTACAACGCCTTCGCCCTCGGCAACGACACGGCGGCGGCGGAATCCGCCGCCGCCGCCTACGGCCTCTACCAGTGCCGCGGAGACCTCAAACCGAGCGACTGCTCGACGTGCGTGGCGAGTCTGATCAACCAGGTGGGTTTGCTCTGCCCCTACACGTACGGCGCGAGCCTGCAGCACGACGCCTGCTTCTTGAGGTACGAGCACGCCGATTTTTTGGGGAGGCCGGACGGCAGTTTGAGGTTCAAGAAGTGCAGTTCCGGCGGCGGCGGCGATTTTGAGTTTCTGCGGCGGAGGGATGATGTTCTGGCTGATTTGCAGGCGGCGGGATTAGGGTTTCGGGTCAGCGCCGCCGGGGCTGTGGAGGGATACGCGCAGTGTTTGGGGGATTTGGCGGCGGCGGATTGCGGGGCTTGCCTCTCCGATGCGGTGGCGAAGGTGAGGAGTTTGTGTGGGTCGGCGGCGGCGGGGGATGTGTTCTTGGCGCAGTGTTATGTTCGATATTGGGAGTCTGGTTACTCTGATTCTTCTTCTTCAGGTTTTTCTTATTAATTTTTATTTTATTTATTTTAATTAGACTGTTTTTCTATAAAAATGTATTTTATTTCAAAACTAAAACAATCATTATTATATGAAAATGCAAAAAAATTATCATATTATTACATATATATGCACTTTATTTTAATTATTGCAATTCATTCATGAAAAATAAATTCACTAACAATTTATTATTACGTTCTTGGTAAAATACTTTCAAAATAAAATTGTTCCAAGGCACATTGTTGGTAGTACGGGTGTAAAGGAACTGAGTCGGCTCGACAAAAGCTCGATCTCAAGCTTGATTTTTTTCGAGCTCGAGCTTCAGTCCAGTTTTAGTTGTTCACGAGCTCATGAGTCGGCTCGCGAGCTTTATATATATATATATATATATATTACAAATTTTATTCTATATTCTATAACTTTTTATTTTTCATATAAATAATTTATGTATAAAACATATAAAATGAATTGAGGTCGAGCTCGACAGGCTCGGTTCGCTTGAGGTCGAGCTCATCAAATGAAAGTTCGATGAGCTCGAGCTCCAGCTCCAGCTCACCACCTTTGACTCGGGCTTCAGCTCGATAAAAAGCTCAGCTCAGCTGAAGTTCGATTCATTTACACTCTGTTAGTGCTTATCATCCAACTCTTTCCATAAAAAGTAATACATAGAGTTAAAAAAAAATATTCACACTTTATTTGCTTTTTATTCATCATGAACTAATCTTCTCTAATTTTTAATCTTATCTCCAACATGTTTTTACCCTTTTAAGTAGCCTTTTTCAATCATGCACCAAAAAGTAATCGATCAACATATGTTATATGTGACATTAATTTCCACTAACATACACATGATTATCTAATTATTTCAACATTAATCTACTCATAAAAAAAATTCCCTTTTGTTTTTTTCTTTTTTTTTTTTAAATTTTTAGTGGTTGATATATAATATTATATATATCTATATAGATTCCTCCAACGACGGCGATGTGGGAAAAACAGTGGCCATAATCGTCGGAGCGGTGGCGGGGGTAGCGGTTCTCATTGTATTTCTATCATTTTGCAGAAAGGCCCTTGGTAATTGACTTATTTAATTTCTTCACTTGCGCAAGTTTATTCTAATTATCTTTTAATCTTTTTTCTTTTAATCTAATTATAATAACTGCAAATATACTTACAGGTTGAAATAGCGAGGACATGTTTGGTAAAGCGATCTTTAATTTTCAGCTTATTCTGGTGTAAATGTTCAGCTTATTTCAGGGGTGAATTGCATTTTGCACCCCATAATTGACGCTAATTGGCGCTTTGCACCCCAATATTTCAAAATTGGCAAAGTCCACCCGCAAATTATATTTCTAATGGCACAATGCACCCCACATCAGTTCCTTTTGCGATTTTAACCCAAAAATCAATATATTACGATATATTAACTTTTGAAGGGATTTTCAAGCTTGATGGTATATTATAGTTTATTTTTATTTTTGTAGTTAAAAAAAATATATTTGTAAAAACCTATTTTAATTACTTAATCCATTTAATTACTACACATTTAAAAAAAAAAGTTAGTCCAACAGCCTCATTCTGTTTTTTAATATATATTAATTTTATGGAAAATTAGGATCCTTTGAATTCTTTTGAAAATTAAAATTAAATTAAAAACTTTATATATATTTTTTAATGTCGATGCTAAATATATGAAATAAATCACCAGTTATATATATATTTTTAATTTAACTTAAATGAAGGTCCCATCACATAAATAATTAATCAAATTTATTTATTAACTATTATTACATGAATACAATTATTAAATATAATAAGCTCAATAAAAATCAAATTAATAGAAAAATAATAAAAATTATAGACCAGAAGTAAACGGAACATTGGTGGCCGGAATCCAAGAACCGGCAGCAATGAAACTGCCGGGAGCGAACCTCGCCGCTTCAGCCGCGCTTGTAATCACGCGGTAGCCCTTCCACTTGACCCGGTTCGCGGTGGACGACCCGGGACCCGTATTCGCATACTCCCCATAGTACAGAGTATCCAGCGCAAAGCTCCCGCTCCACGGCATCCAACCCGCCGGGTTAACCAAGCTATCCATCGTCGTCTTCATGAACACCGTCCGGGAATACTTCTGCCACGGCCGGCCCAAATACGTCCTCACGGAGCTCTGAACCGGTCTGAGATCCGGTGCGGCCGCGACCCGGCAGTTGTGGATCGAGATCCCGGTGTTCTGGTTCGGGTCGGTTCGGCCCTGTGCGGTTAGGGTGTTGGTTCTGTTGGGCGGGTTTCTGGCGAAGATGTTGCAGTTCTGGAGTACGACGGCGGCGTTGCCGAAGATGAAATCCACCGTGCCGTAGATATCGCAGTCTCTGTAGAATTGTCTTTGGGAGTGTACGTACAGCGTGTCTTGGTAGCCTTCGAAGCTACACTGGTAGAAGACGGATAGATCCGACCCGGATCGGAGCGCCACCGCCTGGTGGTTCCGGGCGCCGGCGGTGTTCCGGAAGGTGACTCCACGCGCTATGAACCCGCTGCCCACGACGGCTGCAGTAACATATCAAGAAACTCAAATTTAATTCACTTTTTTTAAAAAGTAAATTACAACAGTCCCGATGTATGGTCAAATTACGAAAATGTCCCTCATGTTTGGATAATTACAATTACCCTCACCTGTAAATCTTCTTACACGTCCGTTCTTGCGGTGTCTAATTTAGTGGAATCTTCTAAATTATATGGAACATTCTAGATTATAAAACGGATACAAAATTGAGAATATTCCATATAATCTAGAAAAATTCACTATATTGACAACGCAAGGTGCACGTGTAAGAAGATTTATAATTAAGATAGTTGTAATTACCCAAACATGAGGGGTTTTTTTGTAATTTGACCATACTTATAGGTGGTTGTAATTTAACTTTTTTTTTTTAAAACAAAAAAATTAAAATATAATAATTATAATCAAAATTAAAATATTTACTTACAAAATGTAGCCGATTTAAAGGTGGTGGAGCCGCCGTCGACGCTTCTACTTCCGGTGATAATAGTCTTCCCAATACCATCACCCAACAACATAATATTCTTCAAACCCTTCCCAATATCAACATTCTCACTATACACCCCTTGTTTCACATAAATCACATACCTCCCACTCCCCGTTCGTTTTCCGGCCGCCGCCACAGCCGCCGCCACCGTCCTAAAGTTGCCGGAACCATCTTTCGCCACCACCACATTAGCCCTAGGATTAGAGCTCTGCAGCAACTTCCGATCACCGGTGTTCACCCATCTCGGAAACCCGTCTTTATTATTATTACTAGCCCCACCGACATACGCACCACCTTTGTTTAGGGCTAGGGTATTGCTAAGCAACAAGCTCACGTTATTCGACATCAACGGGAAGATATAATCCGTGAGGCCGAAGTCAACGAACCCTGATTTGCACGTCTCGAGATTCGTCAGGGCGGCGCTCAGCCACGTCTGAGCGTCGGCCGGCGTGCATTTCGTGGTGGGGTCCACCGTTTTGTTCACGGCGTGGATCGTGCTGTCGTACAACTCGATGCAGTCCGCCCACGCGGATTTTTCGCGCTCGTTGCGGCACTTCGGGCCCAACGAGTAGAGGTTGCTCTTCGCGTGCATGCAACGGTCGAGGGCTAATTGGGAAGACAATTTGAAGAAATCGGACTTCTTGTTGATGGCCGGGATTTTGTACTTAGGGTTATGAGTGAGGAAGTATTCGCATGGTTGTGGGTTCGGAGTTTGACTGCACCAAGACTTTATGGCGGCATCGGAAGAATGGCCGGAGATTGCCGGAGAAATCGACGAGATAGCCACGAAAAGAAGGGTTGCAAGAATTCTTGTTATTGCCATGGCTAGCTTAATTAGCTAGCTAGCTTAGGTAGGTAGGTATAAGAAATTGAGGGTTTTGTTTGAGTTTGTTGTTGTCTTAATTTTGGTTGTCTTATATAGTGAGAAAATATTTATCAATAATGAAGTGATTATATATATTCTTGTAATTTTAAAGCATTACTATCAATTATTATGTTTCTCATTTGAGTTCATAACTGGACTATGACATTAGAAAAACATGGGGTTGGTTAGTTACTAATTAATAACAATATTTAATAAATGTTTTTTTTTATAGTTTATTTAAATATATACACTGCTCTCATAATCATGCATTTTTTTTCTTAGTTGACTTTTTCTTTATCCAGTTACTATTTGTTCGATAGTTGACCTTCAAAAGTCATGCGAGAGACGACCTATTAGTATTTGGAGGTGTCAATTACTCAGATTCGAATCCTCTTGTCAACTGTCACTAGATCAAGCTTGTCACACATGATTAGTCTATTGTGATTTGCAAGGTATTATACGAGAGTGTATATATTTACCCAGGTTAGTTATAGATTCCTTCATTAAAAGAAAAAAAGAAAAAGAGTTGACCTTTGGAAAATGATGGAGGTTCGAGAAGGAACGTACCCCGTCTACGAAATATTTTTATTTAAACATATAATTCTTAATACTTATTTATGACCCAATGCGAATTCAGTTGAATCACAATTGAGAATCGAATTTCAATCGTATTCCATTACTAATTAACAAAACTAATTAAGTATGCAGGCTGTCTAATTTAAAGAAAAATATAATTCCACAAATTAAAACTAATTAATTATGCAGGCTGTCTAATTTAAAGAAAAATATAATTCCACAAATTAAAACTAATTAATTATGCAGGCTGAATAATTTAAAGAAAAATATAATTCCACAAATTAAAGGACAATTTTTTTTAAAAATAAAAAGTAGTTACTTTTAATGTTTGTTTGTAGGGCTGCCATATTCATGCATGAGTAGGTTAAATTCAACCGTTCACATGTTGCCAAACTATAGCTGATTAGCTGTTAATTAATATTAGTCTACATGCTGTTTTATTAGTCTCTTAATTACTATCACTTCAATTAATTAATCACCATCATTTATTTTTTTCCCACATATAAATTGAATACTTTTTACATAATGCCAATTGTTTATTGCTTTTCAAAGTTTTATTTTTGTTGTATAAATCGCAGATATTCACGCTTCGCCCGACTAATTATAGAGTCGATCGGGCAATTGTAACAATTATTTCTATTTTCGACATATATATATATATTTTTTTTTCCTGCCGAAATTAAAGTAAATAGCAACTGGGTAATGTATACGCTGACCGTGTTTCTCTCGTCAATCGGAAGAATATTCGTCGTTTCGACAGCACATGTCAAATGTCACAACAGCTAATTAGCAACCTTTAATCACGATTATTTTGAGGTTTAGTTAATAATTAACTAATTAAATATGAGAGGAATTTTGGCTATGTTGAGAAGGAGATGCTGCCCTCTAACATATCACCATCTCAATAAAGAGCAAATTAAATCCTACTTGGAAAATAGTTTTAAATTTACCAACAATTTGCCTGTTGAATAATATATAATGTGTGGATAACTATATCTTATTCAATTCATCGACAAACAATTATATGTTACAAATAGTTAATTAAATTGTTCATTATTTCAATTTATTACGATTGGATTATACCAATCCAATTGGTTGGTGTAGGAATTTGGCGCTAACAGCTATGTATAGGTAATTTTATATTGATCGGACAAATTAAATTTTTTATTTTTTTATTCAAGAAATTTGACTTTGTTACGCACAAAGTTGCATGAAAACTGCAAGTGTCAATTATTAATCATAAGTATTTTAGTATCTACTGTTTTGCTATAATATATATTTATTGAATTTCTTAATATGTTTGTAATAGGAAAAAAAAAAACAATATGTAATATGAATCAGAGGGTGTAACCTAAACCTAACAGCAATTTGAGAGAATTTGTATAGTGTGCGCCGAATAAATATATTTAATAGACATCAACATGAATTTGTGCGTTATTATGTGTGGGTGAAATAAAATTTTCATTATAGTTAATTCTTTTAAATATTAAATTTAAAATATTTCTCTTTAATATCATCCTAGGTTTCATAACAACAATCAATTAAAGTAAAGGAATTAATGATTACTACATGTCTTCAAAATAAAATTCAAGAAAGTAAAGCAAAATGTAATTTTTAATTTAATCCCCACTGAAGGTTTTATGGGCCAGATTCCTGGATAGCCTATTTATCCTCGTGGGCTATAATATCAAACGGGTCGGGTATTATTTTGAATTCAAATTTGGAGCCCTAATTATCCAATTTCACTCCGATTCAGCTAAAAAAAAGGAACGAAAGATAAATCGAATTAGATGAAGAGCGATTCCTCGTGAAAACAGGCTCATCCAATAAATTTCTTTGATTTCGCGGTTGTTTATGGAAAATTTCGACCGATATTTGCCGAAATTGAAATGTTAGTGTTTCCGAATCGTGGTTTGGTAAATCCACAAAATCTTCAATTACATTTTTTTTGAATTGATTATTCTAAATGTTGTTTTTGCTGAACTTCAGATTAGGTTTTTTTGATGAAGATGAGATTTTGGGGTGTGATTCTGCAGATGCAGAGGGGCGCATTTATTTCAAGCAGATTATGTTGAAAAAAAGAAAAAAAAAAAGAATTTCCAGTCGGTGATAATACGAGCAAAACAGTGCTACTTGTCGTTTGTTCGATCGTGATGTATATCCATGGAATTTCATACCGCCATGCAAGCTATTACAGCAACCTTCCGCAGCGACACATGTCTACACCATTCTGTCTATGTGTAAGTTTCTCCACATTACATTGCATCAATTTCTCGAGTTCATTGGAAAATATTCTTTCATCAATTCACCGAATAGAATTTACAAAATAATAATCATAATAAAAAAAAAAGAATGTTCTGTTTTTTCACCACCTTATTACTGTACTTTCTTGTTTTAGCATCCACTGCAGATGTTGGTTCTTGCAGTAGTAGACGCCTTGAGGTGGTGGAAGCAGCAAGAGAAGCCATGCTCCAATCAATGGCTTGGGCTGAGGGCGAGGGCTTCAAAACACTCGTCGGGCCGGGCCATGAACCGGGCTTTTCCGGTGGGGCCCTCAGCGACTGCGTGAAGCTGTACGGAGAGGCTGAGCCGAGGCTGAGGCGGTTGGTCTCCGGCGAGAGGGGTTATGAGTTCAGCCATGATGATGCTGTGACTTGGTTGAGTGCTGCTTTTGCTAGCCACACCACTTGTTTGGATGGGTTGGAGGAGAAGGGGATGTCTTTTGAAGCCCGCCGGGCCCACAATCTGACCTCGGTGATTCGTGAGTCGTTGGCGGTTTACGCGGCCAAGGACAATCGAAGGGGAAGACGAAAGGGTAATTTCGTAATTTCACTATTAGATGATAAAATATTTTAGGCCTTTATGCTATAACATATATCTTGATTTGTAAGATGAGTGGTAATTCTTGATTACAACCTTATTCAATATTTTGTTTAACTTATATGTGTTTGATAATATATACAGTGGTAAGAAAAAGGCCTGGTTCAGACAATGTAGTGGGAGGAATCTTGGCATCATGGAATGCAGCAAACTCGAAGGCTGATTTTGTAGTCGCTCAAGATGGATCTGGAAATTACAAGACGATTAATGAGGCGGTGGCTGCACTTTCTCAATCGGTTCGTAACGAAAGAGTTGTGGTGTATGTGAAGTCGGGTGTGTATAGAGAGAAAGTCGAGATTGGAAGGGGTTTGAACAATATTATGTTTGTCGGTGACGGCATCGACAAAACCATTGTCACTGGCAATGCAAATGTGCAGGATGGTGCCACCACATTAAATTCAGCTACATTTGGTAAGTTTCCGAGCCATTTTTTCGGCACCGTTACTTCAAATGATCAAATGTTGATTAGATTTTAGAGTATTGAATGTCTTTTAATTATAGTTTAAAACATCAACAATATGACGCCGAAAAACTTTAATCGGAAGCTTATCTTGGTTCGTATGCTAACTTCCAAAAAATTTCGCTAAAGGGTTCATCGGTCTTCCGAGTTAACTTGCTTCTTTAAGAACCCTTTAGATTTTCACTATGCAATATTTTTGTTTGTGGGATGTAATAACTAATTTATTGCATTTAGTACCCTTGTGTTATATTCGTTAAAAAACTCCACGTGTTATTAATATTAGTAAGCCCCCATATGGGTAATATGGTAATTAATGTGCACGGAAATTATAATTTTTGTGAGTGTAGGTGTATCCGGCGATGGATTTTGGGCCCGAGACATGACATTTGAGAACACGGCGGGGCCCGCCAAACACCAAGCCGTAGCACTAAGAGTGAGCTCCGACCTATCGGTCTTCTACCGTTGTAGCTTCAAGGGCTACCAAGACACTCTCTTGGTCCACTCGCTCCGGCAATTCTACCGCGAGTGCCAAATACACGGCACAATAGACTTCATATTCGGCGACGCCTCTGCAGTGTTCCAAAATTGCGATATATTCGTCCGGAGGCCGATGGACCACCAAGCGAACATGATCACCGCACAAGGGAGAGACGATGTAAATGAAAATACGGGGATTTCGATTCTGAATTCGCGTGTTTTGCCCTCGTACGAATTTGAGGGTGTTAAGGGGAAATTTCAGAGTTATTTTAGGGAGGCCTTGGAAGAAGTATTCGAGAGCGGTTTTTTTGAAGACGGATTTGGATGGTTTGGTTGATGGAAGAGGGTGGAGAGAGTGGAGTGGCGATTTTGCCCTTTCGACTTTGTACTATGCGGAGTATATGAATACGGGAGTTGGGGCTTTTACGGGGAATAGGGTGAAGTGGCCGGGTTTTCATGTGTTGAGTGATTTGAGTGAGGCGAATCGGTTCGGTGTTAGGAGTTTTATTGGCGGGGATTCTTGGATTCCGGCCACCGGAGTGCCGTTTTCCGGTGACTTGTGATGGCTTTTTTGGGAATGGAGATTGCGTGTGTTTGTGGAATTGTAAATTCAAGAAAATGGTTGTTGTGTGTGTGTGTGTGTGTGTGTGTGTGTGTGTGTGTGTGTGTTATTGTCAATTGTGTGTAATGCTTTTCTATTTACTTGTCAAAAACAGAAAAGTATTTTTAATGTAAATTAATATAATCTAGAAATATCGACTTGTCTAAAGACTACAATAAATTTAATTAAATATAATTATTATTTAAAAAGAAATATTGATGTTTGCATTATAATCAATTGTTTTTGCATTAGATATACCAAAATTATGACATACAATTTCTTCAATATAGATCAATTATATTGTGTTATAAATCTAGTGAAATTGATACTAATATAAAATTATATTATTAAATTGTTTAAAATATTTGAAAAGCTATCGTAGAGGCAAAAATAATATGAAGAATTATTCATTTAAAATATAAATATTGCCTGATAAATATTAGGTTGTGGCTATATGCAATACTAATTCCACTTGTGAGATTAAATTAAAGAAATATTTCAAAAGATTTCATTTTATTAAGATGAAATGACAAATATACTCATAAATTAAATTGGCTTTTGTTTGCTCATGCAAGACCAAATAACAAATAATAAAAAAATTATGAAACAACTAAATTTCGACATTAAGGTGTGGAATATATGTCCATAAATTCGACATCTTAATGTCGAAATTTAGTAAATTTTGGACTAATTTGCTAACAGTTAAATTTCGACACTAAGGTGTCGATTTTGTACTCCAAAATCGACATCTCAATGTCGATTTTTACCTATAAAATTCGACATGTACATGTCGAAATATGAAACAACTAAATTTCGACATTAATGTGTGGAATATATGTCCACAAATTTGACACATTAATGTCGAAATTTAGTATATTTGGACTAATTTACTAACAATTAAATTTCGACACTAAGGTGTCAATTTTGTACTAAAAAATCGACATTTCAATGTCGATTTTTGCCTATAAAATTCGACATGTACATGTCGACTGCGTCTGCGCGAGATTTTTTTTGGAAAAACGATATTCTAGCTAAAAAAACACATAAATGCATAATTTCTTGGATTATTCCACCGTAGATTCTCTTCTATTTTGATGTCTTCTGACTCCATACTTGCCATCTTTGTAAGATTTGTTGAGTTTTGATGATTTTGAATGTTTAGGTTTTGTGGGTTTATAGATGAGGAAAGAGAAAGATTTTGATGGAGAAGATGAGAGTTGGTCTTGTGATTTTGTGATAGGGTTTTTTTTTGTTTTTGAGTTTTTGGTATTGCACATTTAGAATTTTCTATTTTTTTAACAAGTAAGGGTATTATAGTATTTATATATTGAAAAATTTAATTTGGTCTTATTCAAGTGGAATTAGTCTTACATATAGCCGCCCGCAGCCTAAATATTACTATGAGTAATTTCAATCTCAAATTATTTGAATGGGAGGCACATTATAAAAAAAAAAAAAAAAAAAAAAAAATTGACTTTGACCAAAATAACCATGCCCCTTTTCTAGAAGAGTTATAAACCCTCTTTTCTGCAAACCCTAGCCCTCTTCCAATTTTTTCTGTATCCAATAATTGACAATAACGATTTTCATAGCAAGGCAATTTTTTTTGGAATAGAATTACGGTATAGTGGTTAATTTCAGCTGCAATTTTTTTTTCGGGAATAAAGTTTAGCTGTATTTGTTCGGATGTTTATTTTGTGAATTTTAGCTGTAATTTTGTTCTGATGAATTTGTGGGGATGCAGTGCGGAAAGAGATGACGGGTGGATCAGATGCGGTGGAGACGACGAACTTATCATGTGCCAAATGCGGCAAACCATCTAATCTTCAGTATGTAATTCATTCTTCTTATTTAACTACTAATTTTTTTTTAATGGTGTTTGTATATATTTCCTACAGTTTTTAAATATTAATGAGGGGAGGGCTACTTGGAATCTCCAATATCTTTGATTTTCTTTTCCAAAGATGGG